CCCACCGCCTGGCCCCTGCATAAGGAAGGAGGTTTCATGTGACCTACAGTAGGGGTGCCTGCTCTTGCTCTAGAGGGTGCCAGGAACCAGATCGCTTGTCTACCCACATTCTGGTCACAAGGGGAATGGAGTCTATTGGACTTTTACAGTCCATTCCAACCAACCACATAATTTTACATGTGGGGAGCTTACTCCTCAAAAATTAATTTGGTAAACGTCATACAGCCAGCATGTGGGTAAATCATGAAAGTTAATAGTTAAGACCACTGTTAGGTTATTTAAATTAGACTTTAACATTAAATTGAAACTGTAGTCAGAATTATCTTTGTATTTTCTCGCCGCAGCAGCAGCAGCAGCAACTCTATGAAAGTTAGTAAATCAACAGGTTGTAAAACCCCAAAATATTGCCTATCATCATTGCTTTCTTTTTTCTGCACGCATAATTAATTTTAAATAGGTAGAAATTTGTCACTGAAAGATACAAATTCAAAAGTATTACTAAGATCATAATAACTACTGGTCATGTTTTTTAATTCGTGGACCCTAAAAATAGTAATACTGTTAATGTTTGATGATGGGCATAGCCTGAGAAAGCTTTATACTGTAAGTGGGGGGTGGGGGTTGCCCAAACTCCTTCACACTGTTGATTGGAATTTAGCCTGATTGCCCCTTTGGAAAACAGTTATGAGGGTTTCTCAAAATATTAAAAATCAACCTGCCATGTAATCCACCTGTTTCATTCCTCCATATCTACTAAAGAATATTTGAAGTTATAGATACACTTTTATATTCATTGCAGCCAAGTTATGGAAACAACGGAAGTATCCAAAGATAGATGAATGGATAAAAAAAAAAAGTGTGGTATAAATATAAAATGGCATGTTCCTCAACTTGAAAAAAAAAGGATGAATTCTTGCCATTTGCAAAAATATGATTAGAACTAGAGGGAGTTAAGGTGAGCAAATTAAGTCTAGAGGATAAAAGCAAATATGGGATTATTTATGTAAAGAAATAGATAAAACTAAAACAAAACAAAACCTAGAAATCTGACTTGAGAACTCAGGCCACCAAAAAGTGAGGGTGGGAGTGGAGGCAGAGGTAGGGGAACCCAGTGGACCAGGGGGTTATTGGTGCTTTGGTGATGTGTGCTTTGTGATAACATAGCTGTTCTGAAGTGTTGTTAACCTGTAACTTTAAACCATGTACAGCATTGTAAGCCAAAGTTGATGCAATTTTAAAAATGATCCATATTTTAAAGGGGTCTGTTCTCAACTCACTATGTGCATTACCAATCTTAGCAGGGGCCGGAGGGGGAAAAATCTATAATTTCTTCCAGCTTTCATATCTAATTTAGAAAACAAAGCTTATACAGATAAGTCTGTATTAATACTGTACAAATTTAGCAAATATGTGATACAAACAGTAATACTTTAGGAATTCAAAGAAAATACTGGTTTATCACCTCAAAGATAATGATAACTCAAGGATTTCTATGTAGGATGAATTTAGGACAAAGATCTGGTAGAAATGTAAATGGGGAGTAGAAAAGAGTAGCCACTATAAATTACATATTAAAACTATCTTTTTTCCAATTTTAAGACAATTTAACACATGTACTACAGATGGAGGAGGGAGGTCTAAATGGAAGAGTGATGTTTAAGGAAAAGGAAATCAGTTCAAACACATGCAGATGATACTTGTAGAATAAGCAGTGGATACAGCAGAGAATCCATAATGGGTGAAGTAGAGAAGTCATAGGGACTGGGTGGGGAATTGCAAGACAGAAGAAGCCAGCAACATTAACAAAGAGTTTGGAGCTGTTCTATAGGTGAAAATAATTGAGATTTTGGAAGAGGTAGTGATATAATGTAGTAGTTATTTTAACATTTTATTCTCAGTAATATATTCTTTGGTAATGTTTTGCACAAACTAAGGAGAGCAAAAGATAGGGGCAAGACAAAGAGGAAAAATAAGTGGCAAGAAGTAATTAAGGTCCGGCCTAAGGAAATCAAGTTCTTTTTGAATTTTTTCTATTTATGTAGCATGGGTTTCTAGCATTGTATGGGTTTATGTATGTATTCTAAATTAATATCTGTATATACTATATTATCTTCATCACTAAAAGTCTAGTTTCCATCCTTCATCATACAACTGAATACTTTTAACTCAGTTTGCACACTACCACCCCCTTTACTTCTGGTAACCACTATTTTGTTCTGACAGCTTAAGAGTTTGTTTTTATTTTGTTTGCTAATTAGTTTTGTTTATCTTCCATTTATGAGTATGAAATTACAGTTTTTCTCCACCTGACTTATTTCACTTAGAATAATGTTTATCTATTTAATGTATTCTGTATATTATTTTTCTATTGATGGATTGTAAGTATAACTAAAGGAGAAACTGCCTTCTGTACTTTTTAATGCCTTGTAGAGTTCATTTCTTAAGTTGTCAAAAGTAGTTTTCTGCAGTACCGGTCTTCACCTGCAGGTGGTAATAGACCCTAAAGAAAAAAATCTTCAGTCACTAACTGAATTTTATGGTTGTTTATATTATGTGGCTTTTATAAACAAATATATAACATACATGTAAATTTTAAAGTTAAACAACAAAATGAATACCAAAGAGACCATTACCTAATCTAAACAATGGAATGTAATCAAGACATTTTAGTACCTTCCCCTATACTTTTTTTCCAAATTCACTCCCTTTCTTTGCAGACACATGTGCTACCCTCAATTTAGTGTTATTATTACTGCCTTTTCCTCCTCGAGGTATAATGTAGTGTTTTGTTTTGCCTGATTTCAAGCTTTATAAAAATAGTATACTAGATCATTATTGCTTGACTGACTTTCATTCAATATTATGTTTCTGAGATTTCTCTCTTTTGACGAGTGGAAATAGAAGTCTATTGAGAGAACAATGCAGAACTAATTTGACCACATTCCTATTAATGTTGATTCTTCAAATTAATATTGCTGAGACCTGGATGAAAGACTGATCATGTTAAGTAAGAAATCTCTCACCTAGTTCTTACTGGTTCTTTGATAAAATTTAAGTGCTATTATTGTTTCTCTTAATCTAGCCCAGAGTTTTTTAAATGTTCACATGAAGATGTTTGGGGCTGGATGTTTCTTTGTTGGGTGAAGCTGTTCCGTGCATTGCAAGATGTTTAGCAACAGCCCCGGACTTTACCCAATGGATGCCGGTAGCCCCTGCTTTCCCAGTTGTGACAACCCCAAATGTCTCCTGACATTATCCAATATCTTTAGGGAGGAGAGTAGGGGATGGGGTGGGGCTTGAGAGCAAAATCATTCCCAGCTGAGAAACACTGAGCTAGTCCCTGTTAGAGTTTACTGATTGCTCTTTTGCCCAAAAACCTGAACTTGTGGATGATTATACTCACTAATTTGTATGTGATCATATGGACTAATACTATCAAACCCACATATATAAGTAATGTATCAAGGCTCTTCTTACTTTCCGTCTTTTCCACCATATCTAATTACTGTGTTGTCGCTCATTACTACCTATTCTGGTTTTCCATTACTATGAATAGATTTCAAATATCTAGTTGTTGCTCTTACAATTGTTCTGTTCACACACCAGTCTGAACTGCCCTTTCATCAACTTAGGTTCTTTTCTTCCCTTCATTAAACACAACTCCTGTGATTCTGATGAATTTCATGGTTTTGTTTCAACAGCATGGCTTTACTATAGAGTTGTAATTACTATATATTTCTTCCTATAGAGGTGTAATTACTATATATTTCTTCCTATATTTTTCCTGGCTATTTCCTTTAACCTATGTTTTTATTCCATCTTCTCTCTTCATTGAAAACCTGAGAACTGCAATTGAGTGATCTGTGTGGAATACTTGCTTTCCAGTCCATGTATTGGCTTGAATATAAATAAAGAAATATAACAATAAGAACTAGAGAAAAATAATCTATACTTTTCCCCTAGCTTCCTACCACCCTTACAGCAGAAAAAGTATTCAGTATAACTAGACATAGGTTGGTTAATTAAGTAGAAAAATCAGATACTTAAGTGAGCTTTAAAAACATGAAAATATGGAATGATAAAGACTGCTTCCTAACACATGTGAAAAGTATTAGATAGTGATGAAAATCCACAACATTTACTTTTAAAACCCTGTTACAGAAAATAAAAATTATATGAAGTAAGGATTTATGATTATATATAGGGAATACTCTGGAAAGAGTTTATAAAAGATTAATTCTAGGCCAGAAAATATCTTCTCAAATAAATAAGATCTGCAGGTGACAACTAGATCCAGATCATGCATGAAGTTGCCCATTGCTTTGTGTACTTTCAGCCATCTGCAGTTAGCTTCTCTGGGGATCCCCTGGTCTCATGAGAATCCTCTCTTCTAGGACTCTACAGGTTCTCAGACAGAATACATGTAATGGCTGATGAAGCTGGAAGTAAGGCCCATTATTTTGCCCCAAAGCGGGATACTTCTCCCTGATGGACCATTTTAGCTCAGAATTCCATGTAAATTCTCCCTGCTTCTTTCCTCTTTCTTGATAAAGGACTACTCCCTTTTAAAGATCCTGCGCACAAAACTCGATTTCAAAATCAGCTTCCTGGAGAGCATAACCAGACTGGAGAGATTTTATACTCTTCCATTATAGATTAAAGCAGTAGTTTCTGTTGTTTTTCTATTTCCAAATGTAAATTTCTGCTGAAAGTGTGTGTTAATTTAGCGATTTGTTAGACAATTTTGGAAGCACCATTATC